AGCTAGTGAATAGCATTTGGATAGCAAGCTGAAGAGTTTGTGTAGCACATGAAGTACGTTTGGATTCATGAACTTTTCATGTGACTGAAAGCTTGGGGAAAAAGTTGTTATGGTTTAGACCAGTGGAATATGTTTGAAATGTGTTTTCCGTCATTTACTGCCTGTCAGTATCGCAATGCCAAAGTGTATTGATGGGCTTAGATCTAAGAATGGACAGTGCATCAGACCCTGGTGTTTGGCAGGGCTTAGGTGATATTAGCGAGTGGTTTGGAACTGCTGGGAGGAAACAGTTTTCCCAAATGAGATGTTTAGGGTTTGACTTGGGGTTTGGGGGGGGAGGCAGTTGTTTGTTTTTTCAAAAGTAGAATCTTGTGGGGAGGATCTCCTAGAGAACAATTGGCACCTTTAAGCGTTACACTTGAGAGAAAATAGGAGACCAGAAGCAGGAGACCAGGCTTCAGGAACTGGAGAAAAATCTGTCTAGAAAGCAAGCTGTTTGCAAGGTGGGAAGAGTATTCTTTACTCCTTCACACTTAGCCCAGGGTGTTTCAGAGTGAAGAAAATGAAGCAGTATGTGCGTATTTGTCCTGCCAGCTGCTGCAGAGTAATTGCAAACTTCAGCAGAGCTGTAGATAATTTAACGATTCCTATAGAAAGAGAAGATATATGTAATGTCACAATAATAATAACGTAGGGTTTTAAAGGGTCAATAGCGGTTCTGGGAGCCTGGGCGGCAGTCCTGATGGTGTTTGAGGTTTATGAAAGGCTGCAGGTGCCCACGAGGGCAGGGTATCTGACCTGCAGCTCGTACATGACTGCCCTCTCTTTGAGGGTTGCTCAGATTTAGACTGGAAGTGGGGCACTGATGGGATTAACTAACCTGCTGGCAGCCCCTGGGGAGGCAGCTTGAAGGTGTATTGCAAATATGAAGGACGGTGATCCCTGAGAGCAGTAAACACAATATATTTGCAAGTGTTAGTTTTGCTGTATGTGCACTGATGAAGTGCATTATGTGTGTTGTCAAAATGTTGACTACATGGATAGCTTTATAGCTATTCAGATTTTGCATCTCTTGCTTAATGCAAAACTGATATATTATGCTTTCTATTTCAGTGAGAAAGTTATTATCGGTTTCCAGGAGAATGTGAAGAAAAAAAGTGTTTTAAAAAAACACTTCAGAGTTTTGATCTAAGTGTATGCAAGCAAGTTTTGTAGCCCCCCCAACATCAGTAAATATGCATTTTTGACTGTATAAAAATACATTTCAAATATTTGTCTTAAAACCAGCATATTCCATGTCAATATTATAGTATGTAATTTCACTCTCAGGAGGTGTATATGGAGCGAACGCTGGCACACAAACTGCTTATGAAAAACTTCTCATGCTTGACATTTTCTGGAAGCCTAAGTTAAGTTGCCATTATCCTGCTTGTTCAAGCAGAGGGAAGGGATAGTAATCATGTGCAAGAGAAGACGAATAACTTCTAATTAAAAGCCTAAATTATGAAAGGACTGTGTGTATTTAAAAAGAAAACCACAACAACAAACAGCCAAGAACAAACCACAACCTTCCTGCAAACTCATAATCTTGTCTTGTCTTTCTTTTTAACCAGTTACCAGTTGGGCCAAGACAACTGATACAAATTTATCCAGCTCCTTAAATGGTTTGAGCTTCATGGGAATTCTGGACGCAAGAGTGGGCAGCAGTATCCAGGGCCTTCAAAACTTCAACTCCGGGACCCCAACATCTCTCTCATTGCCTGAGTATGGGCCTGGCAAGCTGTCCAGTGCTTTAGAAGATTGTCATAGCCTTAAATCAGTGGATTCTGGTATTCCAACTCTAGAAATAGGAAATCCAGAGCCTGTTCACTGCAATGTGTTAAGTGTGAAGAGAAAGCAGTCGGAACCTGAAATTGTGCCTGATAGGGCTTTTCAGAGCGCGTGCACACTGCCGTCTTATGTGCCTCCACATTCTCTGACTTCTGAACATGACCATGCTGTGCGAAAATCCTCTACTTTCCCAAGAACTGGGTATGACACTGTCAAACTTTATAGTCCAACTTCAAAAACTCTGAATCGAAGTGATGATATCTCTGTCTGTAGTGTTTCTAGTCTTAGCACAGAACTGTCAACAACTTTATCAGTTAGCAATGAAGACATTTTGGACTTTGTGGTCACAAGCAGTTCAAGTGCAATTGTGAATCTTGAGACAGATGAAGCACACTTCTCGGATGTTACCCTGAATTCCACTAAAGAGACCAATGATGAGAGCCAGCAGGAGTGCTGTCAAGAGACAGACGTGGACAGTAAACGAAAAATACTGGGACCTTTTACGAACTTCTTTGCCAGGTAACGTTTCCATAAAATATATTTGTATTTTAACAGTGAGATTAAGTAAGATCATGGAAGAAAGGTCTCTTGTGATATTTTAGTTTGAAAGAGATAATAGCTTGCTATTTTAATTAAAATTGGTATTGACATACTTTTTTTTCTATTCTAAGTAGGCAAATATTGCTAGGGACTAAGTCTTTGAATCCTGCTCTGTATTATATTTATGATATGTAGAAGCATCTTAAATCTTTTCAAGAGTCCTACATTACAGCAAAAGGAGTTCTGAACAAGTTTTTTTTCCCCCGCTGAACAAGGTGTTTTGTGATTTATTTTTTTTTTTTTTTTTTTTTTTTTTTTGGCCAAGGTCCCTAATCTCATGTCACATAAATAGGTAAATGTCAGTAGGATCCATACCTATATTGAAGAGCTTTGACATCTAAGGATTCATAAGTGGTCCCGTAGTGATAGAGCATTTTATTGATCAATATAAGTGTATCAAGCTTAAAATAGAAATAGTTTTAAAACACTAGCATGACTACTATGATTCTTCCAAATCTCAGTTATACATTTGTTAATACCTTTTTTTCCTTCATTTTTGTAAGGAATGAGAACATCTGACATTCTGTCACTCAGCTGTTGAAGTGAAAGCATTGGCGACTAAGTAGTTGCATGACCTCTTCTAAATGTGGCCCTTGTATCAACAGTAAGGTGTTCTAAATGCGGATACCCAGGTGAAAGTGATGAATGAGGAAAAGGACTAGTCTGCTTTTTGGGGGTTGGGTTGTTTGCTCGAATTTTTGGGGGTTTTATTTATTTAAGGCCTTCATAATTGGTTTCAAACTGAAAGAGGGTAGATTCAGATTAGATCTTAGGAAGAAATTCTTTCCTGTGAGGGTGGTGAGACACTGGCACAGGTTGCCCAGAGCAGCTGTGGCTGCCCCCTCCCTGGCAGTGTTCAAGGCCAGGTTGGATGGGGCTTTGAGCAACCTGGTCTAGTGGAAGGTGTCCCTGCCCATGGCAGGGGGATTGGAACTAGATGATCTTGAAGGTCCCTTCCAACCCAAACCATTCTGTGAATCTGTATGATTCTGTCATAGTGTCTCTTATTTTTAGGATATAATGTCTGAAGTATGATATATTTTGAAGAAATGGTTGTAGAAATAAACTTTAGACATCAAGCAGAGTTGGCTGTATCTAACCTATTTTGAATACGTGATTGCTTCAGCTAATCTGTTTTTCCTCATGTAATTTTTTTTTCGTGATATGAATAGGCTGATGGAATTATTAGAGTTGGCAAACATCGTTCTTTGAAAAGCTGCCTTATGTGCAAAGCTTAAGAGAAGCGGTTTCTTTAGGTCAACTGAACTGGCTGAAGCCTTCATTGATTTTTATTCTTAGGTTAAAGTTAGAGTACTGTGCAGCAGAACTCCAGTCATCAATCATGTTTGAGGTGCTGAAGCTTTTGTGGACCTCTTGTCTGTTTGTTGCCATGGAACCAGACTTAATTCTGAAGCAGGAGGCTTCTCGGCACTTCAAAGCATGAACTTTTGTTACCCGTTCTGGTAGCACAACTGCTAACTCAAACAAATGCTGTCGTCCAGCCCGGAGGGAGCACAGCGGAACAGGCGCATTTAGACCCTGCTCAAAGTAGGATGTTTAACTGCTTCTCAACTTCTCTCATCCAACAAAATAAAGCCATCTGTCCAGATTCTGTTCTAGTGTAATCCCTAGTGCTTTTGCCAGTGTTACAGGAACAGTTGTACTCACTAGACTGAGCTTTTTAACCTGAGTCTTTTCAGGTACATTGAATTTCAGAGAACAAAGGCTGTCTTTACTACCTTTTAAATGGGGAACTGAAATCTTGGGCACCATGTGAGGTCATCAGGAGAATATGAGGATTAAGTTCAAACTAGGTGATTGACTTTGAAGTTCCAGGTGCTCTATCTATAACTGGGCCTTTAATATCCTTTCCTTTAATATGCACTTTCTGCTCTGTTTTGAAAACAAGAGTTGCTCGCTTTCTGTCTGCTTGCATACTACACACCCATGTTTTTTGCATCCACTGTCTTATGTCTTGCGACCTGGTGGTGAGTTTCACAGCTATTGAATAAGCAGGGAGCTTCTGTCAACATTGTTAAGGATGAAAATGGGCTGTTGCTAGTTTTTGTTAATATTTGCATCTGCTGTCCATGGGGTTGTAACTGCTTCCTCTAATGATCCCGTACAGTCTCTGTTCCCTGGAGTTCCTGTGGGCTCCTTCGATTCCCAGGGCTTAAATGAGTATTTCAGGAAATGTTTTGGGCACTGCAGTATTTTGTTTGAAAGTAACTGCTTCTAGGGGCCTTCCTACCTAGCTCACCCTGTGCTGTGTGCCAGGTTCTGTGTATCGTGTTAGATGAGGAGGTGGCATTTGGAATAGTGTCTTTGAAGACCAGCTTGCTGAGAAGGGAGCTTGAGCTTATTAAAGTAGTTTGTAAAAAGTGCTGCAGTGGTAGGTATAAACAGTCTCAGAGGAGCATGTTCTTAGCGCTTCAGACTGTGCCGAAAGGATTTTCACTTGAGATTGACAGTCTTGCAGGCTAAGTGCATAAACCTGCCCTTTTGAAAACTGGGGATGAACCATGGCAGGAGAAAGCCAGATTGCTTTGGCTTTGGTTGGTGGCTGGCACGCTTGTGTACAGTGTGGAAGAACAAGCACCTGAGTGGTTTGTACAGAGCTTTTCTGCCTTCCAGCAGCCTGATGGCCATGGTGTAAGGCTGCAGTGCAGGGGCTCTCAGCCTTAGCCTGCAGGTTTAGCTCTTTGAGGGCTCCTCTCAGTAATGGGTTATGGGTTTGAGCTGCTGAAAGTGAAGATGAATCAGCTTAGTTTTTGCTCAAGTTGTTGACATTTGGTAAAAGAAGAAACCTTGCTTCTTGAAATGGCAGCTGTGCTTGTATTGAACCTTGTCTGTCATCTGAGAATGTGTTAGTTTCCCTGAACTTGTCAAGACTGAGTTTTCTCTGCATATGCCAGTTAAGATTTGTGGCTGCCTGTAGAGATAATATTGACAAAAATTAGATGCCTCCAGTGCTTGGTCACATGCACCTAAGCTGCTTATGTATAAATTTAGGCTAAATACTCTATAGTTTGGAATATAAAATTATTTCTTAGCACTCTGTAGCTTTATTTTTTCTTGTGAGACTGTATGCATGTGTGCACGTGTGCTGTGCTTGAGGTTGTGTGTTTCATATCAGTTGTGGCAATATCTGCGGTGTGTTACAAAGTGTTGGTGTTGGCTTGGGGCTGGAGTTGAAAGTTGAGTTGTAGAGGAGATGGAAGAAAGGAGAACCCTGTTGGCTCGTTGCTTGTCAATCCCGGCACTTTCAGGGGCACTCGGGAATGGAGTGCTCTTGCCCTGCCTTCTTAAGCACTATGGTGAAGAAAACTTCTTGGACTGCTTCTCTGGCTCAGTTGCTGTCTCTTCAGCAGTGTGAGACTCCAAAAGGTCTGGTTGTTTCCGCAGGCTGTTGCATGCTTCTTTGGGTGTGGCAGGAAGATCCAAAGTGAGAAAAAGAGGCTGCTTTCCTGCTTGCTTACGCATAGCTTTCCTCTTGAAAGAGCTTGAGGCATCACAGGTACAGTGCTAGGTGGAGTACCACTGCTCTCATTAGGCTTCAGGTTAGCACATGAAAATGGATTATTGCTTCTGAAAGCAGCTGTAATGCTGACTGCTGACAAAGTAACCTGCCACGTTGGTTGTTTTCAACTGTCATGTGTACTTTTATCAGCTCTAAAAGGCCGGAGGTCTTTCACGTAAAGCATGAGTTTGAATTAATTTTCCTTAATTTGAATTTATGCAGGAACTTTGAGAAATAGTGTGAGCAAGTAATCGTCTGAGAGACTAAAGAGTCGTGGCTTGTCTGTCCCTTTGCCCTAGTGACCGGAGTAACGCAGGTTAATGAGTTTTACCTTTAGACTTTGCTTCAGTACAGTACTGCTGAAATGCAGACTTTTGAAATGCTTGGGTTTTAAACAGCTTTGCTGAATCAGGACTGTTGCGATCTTACTGCAGAAGTTGTACTTCTCATTTGTCTTTTTCATTTATCGTTTTGGAGACTGAGAATGAGGCTTTTTATGGTTACACACAGAGTGACCATAACAAGGACTAGGACTATGTTCAGTTAAATAATAAGCCATGCAGTTCCCTTACTTTTTAATGGACTACAAGAATCCAAAGTCTTTACTTGGTCCAGTGCTGTGGATATTTTCTATTTTTCCAGAAATCTGGATCCTCTTTCTTTTAAGGCTGCTTCTAGAAGTTTTTGATCCAAATGTTCTAAGTAGCAGGATCTTGGAAAACTTCTACAGAGAATAGGGACTACACATGAAATGAAGGGCTCTAAGAATAACGTTACATTTTACTGTTTCTAAAGAATATCTTGTTTCCGAGAGAAAGCTTCTGAAGCAGGATTGGTATCCTATACCATCCATAGAAGCACAAACCTAGTCCAGACTGCGGCCTTACTTGTAGTCTGATAAGAAAAAGGGCTTAAGTTCCAAAATAATAGCTGCTGGTTTCAACATGAAGTCTGAAATCATGTGAATACAATATGTTTATATCACGTATACACACATAGATGTTTTGAGGTGACTGGTCACACCATAACTCAGAGTTCTGAATTTAGGAATTAGGTCCATCGATAGCATAGATAAGTCACCTATGTTAATGAATAGGACCCTCTCATAATGCTGTTTGTTGCTTTTAATGGGAGGACAGCTTATCATGCTTTGCTAATTTTGGTGTTAAAAGGAAGGTAGAATAACAAGGAACACTATAGTGTTCATTTCCCACTTTCATCTCTCCAAAAAGGGACTTCACTGACCATAGTAGGGAAGAGAAAGGATGAAAATAATTATGATTGAGTAATCCGAGATATTAAACTTCATATATGCTGTTGTCTCCTCTTCTGTGCATGTTTTATGTTAAATGAAGCCTGTTAGAGTATAGGCTGTTCAGGAGGAGACAAGCTTGAGAACAGGACTGAAGTGTGTAGGAGGAGGGACAGAAAGAGCTGTATGCGCTGTGGGGGAGGGTATCAGTACACTGCTTTTACCCACAAATGAACAAAAACTAGCTGAGCTGGAGGTAGACTTGTCTGGAAGCTGGGAGGGAGGACTCCAGAAACCCAGCCTCTGTCGGGGGGAACTCACACGGACACCCGGCACAGGCTGCTTCACTGTGCTGCGGGCGGGCTGGGCTCCCCAGTGCTGCCATTGCCTGACCCCCCCGAGATTCACTCTGCTGTTGGAGGGAAAAGAGGAATTTGGTGGCAGTTTGTCCTTCCCTGCAGCTTTGTCTGGGTGCATTTTGAGCTATTTGTTGTCACTAACGGGCATCTAAAAGGGTTGAGGAGGGAGGAAGGCAAACAAGATTATGTTTCAGTGGTGTGGGAAGCACCAGAGGCTCTGGGGATCTGTATTAACAGATGATGCTGCAGATAACGTTTCAGCAGCCCGTGAGGCATTCATGTACACTCATCTGATAGCTGCTTCAGCCTTCACAATATGGTTTTGGGTACTACTTATTGAAAGCCACTTTCTGTCTACTTGAAACAAAAGACTAGTGGCCCTCCACTCTTGTGTACTTACTGTCACATCTCTGTGTAGAACAAAAGAAAAGTTGCAGAATTTTTCTGAAATAACGTTCTCTCTCAAAGCAGGTCTTCCATAGGTGCAAAGTTGGAGTTCTACAAAAATAGCAGCCTTTTCTTTTGTTGAAGGTTGAAAGTTGTTGAAAATTCTGAAACAGTTTTCAGGATTCCTGTCCTCTAATTCAGTGTATGAGGTTTTCAACTTTGTCATGTGGCCTGTTCTGCACTAGGTGTTGAACTGAAACTGTCCGTATTAATTTTAATCCCTGTTTTCCCTTTAAGTATGGAATAATGTAACTTTTGTTTAGAATTGCTCTTCTGTTAGTTCTGCTTTAAATTTTGCATTAAATCTTACCTGAGATGCAGCTCTTTAGAATAAAGGGAAGTTGCTTTTGCAGATAAAATCTGGTTTATTTGAAGTCCTGTTTGTGTGAAACTGTTTTCAGTTACTCAACAGCAGAAGTAAGAGGCCTGTTGAAGTTATTCGTTAATTATGGAGGTTAAACGAAAATCTGCTCAGCAGTACTTTGAGTTTTAGGTTAGTTGGTTTGTTTTATTTGTGTTTGTTTGGTTTTTTTTAGTAATGATATAAAATTATGCAGTGAGGACTTAATGTGGTCCAGTTATTTAAAATAGTCAAATGTATATGTTTGTTTTCTAGTGGCTGGTGAGAAGCATTACAAAAGTCTCACAGGGGCTAGTGAATGAGATTCGTAGCAGAGGGGGTGTTGTATGTTGCAGTACTCTGCGATAATGCTTTTTCCCCAGTTCCTTCTCCTTAATCTCCTGTTGTGAGGCTGCCTTCTGAAAAGCTTGCAGTTGCTCGGTTTTACCCTTTCTACGTGCCTGCTTTTGAATAGAAAAAGTAAGAATTACATAGGTTTTGATAGATATATACAGGACTTCAGGAA